TCCTAATACCTCCACACTCTGAAAACTGAGTTTTATAGCGGATTTACTCCTTGCTTGAGCTGATACCGATTAAAAATGTTTAAACATGTATGGTTGTTTATATATATATATATATATATATATATATATATATATATATATATATATATATATATGATAATAGGGGCATATCTATGAGAGACCATATTTTGTCTGTAGACTTTATTCTCTATGATTAGATAATTTGTGTTTTCCATGTCTATTATATGAATGCTGTCATCCCCAAAAGAACCTGGATTAGGGAGATTTTCATATCACTAATATTATTATTATTATCATTATTATTATTATTATTGTTGGTGTTGTTTTTGTTGTTGTTGTTTCCTTTTTTTTTCTCCATCGTCTTCTTTTGGTTTCTTTTGTACATTAATTTTCTTCCAGGTGTTAATATGAAACCTAAAGTATAAAAATAAAAATGCATCATGACATTCACTATTATCCACTGCTGCAAAAATATAAAGAACAATCCATAAACACATATTTCACATAAATGAATTTCTTCTTAGGGCGGGATCTATACTTGCGAGAACATTTATTGTGTTTCTCTAAGGCATGGGCTACCAGAGATCCATTCATTGAGTCCATCAAAACCCTTTTCTAATCTAACCCAAGGCCTCAAACCTAACCGGAATTATTAATGTCTTTAACTGCCACATTATTGAATATTCCACTTTGTTCCTTGTGTTTCTCTAGGTTTGTTAGATTTTCGAAGCTACACAGCAGTCTTCATCAAGTGCAATGGTAATGAGAGAGTATATCATGTTTTTGTAGTCTCCGATAAACATGTCTGGAGATTAGCTTTAATAGTTCTGTCTGTTTTGTAAAGTCCCATGTAATTGTTACGTCTTATCTATCTGGCACCTGGTCAGTGGATTTTCGTATCAAATTTTGCAGTTTTTTTTTTCTTTAAAATTGAAAATTTTCCATTGCAGAGATGGATGCTAATACCGTTGTAGTGCTCGGAAAGGTGATAACAGCAGAATATCTCAAATATAAAATACGTAAACCCTAAAGTAATTCTTTCTTCCTTTTTCTTTCGAAGTGTGTCGCATGGACTTTCCACGCTGAAGCTAAAAGGGCTGCGACTATTTCCCACTAAAACGCATCAACGCTATAACACATACATGGACATCTCTTTATGTATACAATTTCCTTCTAGCAAAAGAAACTCTTATTTCAAACTTTCCTTTTGTTAATTATCTTAAATAAATGTCATTTTACATTGAAAATCAATTGATCAGAGATTTTGCGCATGTACTCTTTTCACCAACATTATTCATGAACTAAAAAATGATCCTGTGAGAAACTATACATATTTAATTATTTAAGTATCTAATCATCGACTGTTTAGCCCAATAGAAGTGTTCAATTCTTTCTTAACATTCATCATAGAATTTGCATTTCAGGCCAACATAATTTTTCAGTATGTTTCCTTAATAATTTCTACTTAGCAAACATTGCTCATGTAAAACCTTCAGCTTAAGTTTTTATATCCTCAGCTACGCAACCACTGATGGGTAAGGGGTTCGTCTACATCAGCTTATTTGGCACAGTCAGAGTACTGTCTATCAAGTGCTTTACGTTGCCATTATTTCTACATTTGATTTTTTTATAGGTTATGTGCTGCGGCAGTAGATCGATTATGGTTTACTGCCTCTTCTGCATCCAATTTGAAAATGTCGCTTCGTTTATCGTGGAATGAAGTTTCTTATTACTTTCATGTTCTTTGACACAGATCAACATCCTGTCTTCTGTAATTTCTAGGTATCTTTAAAGGCCGATATTTGTCGTTTCGTAAGACAGTTCGAGTAAAATTAATCCTTCGAATCTGGACACGTGCAGAACGATGCATACTATGGCATGTAAGTTTTATTTTCGTTTTAAAATGCATTCCTTTAATGTCTTTTATGTTCCAGTTATTTATCGTTTATCGTCAATTATACATATTACATTTCTTGACATATACTCATTTGCATATAGCGGAGTATTTACATTTTAGGCATGATCTAAATATCATCTTTCCTACACATCGAATACTTACTCGTCCTCTTCTTCCTCGTCATCGTCCTTTTTCAATTCTTCATCAGTATATATTTGGATGTTCATCCGATGAAATTGTCAATATTTTTTTGTTGACATATTTCCGAGGAAATTCTTCATCAGCCATAAAATCTCGTCACTCTTACAATATTTTACGAATACGCACCACTAACATTTTTTCATTCGACTTTGATTTTATAATAGGCAACATTGTATTTTTTTCTGTGAGTTTCGCATTGGATGCGACCCCGGAGACACTCGGTGTAGAGTGTTACATTAAGAGGTTGTTTATATGGATAGGAGGAGGAGATAACGGTCAACTCTAGACTTGAAAATGTTAAGATTGTGGTGAATGGAAAGAAGCTTTTAGATGGAACGTTCATCTCATCGATGGAATATGGAGGGAATATGGGTAGAGTTT